TCTCTCTCTCTCTCTCTCTCTCTCTCTCTCTCTCACACACACACACACACACACACACACACACACACACACACACACACACACACACACACGAGCAATCAGGAAAAAATGAAAAAATAAAAATTCTCGTTTTTAATGGTGTTTGTTTTGATTTCATTACTTGTTTTTTTGTTTTTTATTTATTAAAAATAACCAAAAGCATCAAAATCCAAAAAAAAGAATTATGGGGATGTAGGGAATTTCGAACCCTACATCCCCCCCCAAAAAAAAATTGGCCAATTATTTTAGTTTTTGAAAATCTTTGGGATTCATGCCCGCAGTCGGCCGCGGGGGCGACCGCCGCGGGCGGGGTTTCGACCACATGCGGTAAAAATGCCTGCGGTCATGACCGTGGTTGATACATAGTCAGACACCCCCTGAAGACTTTCTCGGCCAGCGGCAGAGAGAAAGAGAGGACACATATAAATTACATCCGACACTAACAGTTGGCACAAAACAGTATTAATGACAAGAAGGTTTAAAATCGTCGGGGTGTAGGGTGACAGTCACCCCCTGAAGACTTTCTCGGCCAGGCACAAAACAATATCAATCACAAAAAGGTTTAAAATCGTCGGGGTGTAGGGTGCCAGACACCCCCTGAAGACTTTCTCGGCCAGGACACATTACATAAACTCTGTTTGACACCCCCTGAAGACTTTCTCGGACAGGACACACACACACAGACACACACACACACACACACACACACACACACACACACAGCCTCAACTCCTCTCCTCCGGCGTGCCATCATCTCCTTTCCCTAACCCCACCATTCAAGGTCCACCGAGTCGCACTTCCCCCCCTCCCCCCATCCACCCCAAATTATATCGCCAACGCAGTACTCTCAGCACTTCATCTTCTTTTTCCCCTCAAGTGCAACTCTCTCTCTCTCTCTCTCTCTCTCTCTCTCTCTCTCTCTCTCTCTCTCTCTCTCAACAAGCAGGTGGAGGAGCAGGTATCGGGGAGGTGTGAAATACGTGAAAGACCCACCTCTGTCGAACGATGATGGAGACGATTGGTGTTGTTGGCGAGCCCAGAACTGGCAACACCCTCAACCGACTCTCTGGAGTGATTACGACGCAAGTCACTAGTGATGACGGACGAGGAACAAGTGGTCGATCAGATACGAGCCCGGGGCTGCAACCAACATGAATCCGGTGATCATGACAATCAACCATCATGCAAATATGAACTCGTGCGACAGGAACGCAAGGGCAATTACATCACAGAAGCAATCAATCATTCGTTGAAAAACACACAATGCAGCACTTCACCCTATCAACAACAATCCGCTCCACATCCCACACATGGATCTGCTGAAGAACAATGACCCAAATTATGTTAAAGTGAAGCACCTAATTGTCAGAGAAAAAGTCAGGCACATAATCGGTAGAGAAACGAACCTGCTGGACCTTCTCTTATTGTATGGCAGAGAATTTCCGCAACCTCATTCGGTTGTCATCTGTATCCACGACCCCATCACGGGACCGGCCAAATTGGGTTGTCACCCCAACCTGATCTGCCATCCATTTTTTGCACCAACAAGTGTAACCAACCATCAGCAGGCCCGCAAAACGCAACACCATAACAATGGGGAAGATTTGAGACAGAAAAAAAGGCTGCATCGCAGTGTGACAATCACATTCTACCATATTCATAAAAGAAAAGAAATACGTACACATTCCGTCACCAGCCATGCTAAACTTCCCCTGTTCAGAACCATTTGCGTACAAGGCCGCCCATGTGGATGTAGGTTGAGCGGCGGCTGCCTTCACCCCCATGTGTTATATACACCCACTTGCACACAGCCAAAAGGCAAAGAGGCAAACAAAAGAAGAAGGAAACAGCCCAAAGAAAACAGAACAGGGTGCTACAAAACAAATCCAAAATGACAATCATAGACGACAAGTCCCACATGCAAGCACCGCCCCCAACAACTACAGGCCAGACGACGGGACACGACCAACCAGGATGTCAAAACACACTTGCCTGCAAAAACCCGATGACCAATCCCACACGAAGCACCGTCATCCCTCCCCAAGATAGACCGAATAACGGGACAGATCAACTGGATCATAGGAGACAAGATTCTCTTCTGCCATATCCATAGCAAAAAAAAAAAAATGGAACCATTCAGCAGGCCCGCAAAATGCAACACCCCAACAATGGGAAAGATTTGAGAGAGAAAAAAAGGTTGCATCACAGTGTGACAATCACATTCTACCATATTCATAAAAGAAAAGATAAAATACGTACACATTCCGCCACCAGCCATGCTAGTAGACACACCTCACTTTGCTCCGTGTTTCTTTTCTACACCATCCTTCCTCTCCTTCGCCTATCCCCCCCCCCCCCCCCCCCCCCCCCCCCCCCCCCCCCCAAAATGCCTCCATCACTCCTTTCATGAACAGACAAGCAAACCTCCCTCTTGGACCTTCAACTGAATCTGGCCGTCGTTCTAGTCACATATACATTCGTTTACGTCCTACGTTGTGAGTGGATGCCCTATCACACTAATGTCAGCTACAAAAGAGTTCAGCACCAATCGTCATTTCTAGTAGCTAACTACGACGAGGAAACAGAGCGTAGGCGTAAATCTGCAAAACCCTACCGTTCATAATATCTTTTAATGTCGTCCCTTTTCCCTGCAGACAACAAACAAAACAACCAACAGCAAGAAATCTGGAATATCCTTGAATGTCGTCCCTTTTCCCTGCAGACAACAAACAAAACAACCAACAACAAGAAATCCGTCATCTCTCTCAAAGCGAAGCCGGGTATTGCACCGAGTCGTCGGACCCCTTTTTTTTTTTTTTTTTTTTTTTTTTTTTTTTTTTTTTTTTTGTCCAACAGATGAATTGATCAACCAGATTATCGAACACTGATCCCGGACATTTAGGTAAATCCGGACTTCAATCACGCCCGGTTATTAAATGAGTTAACTAAGAATGAACATACAAGTAAATGACCTGTTCACATAGAACACCCTCGATTCTCCTATATACTTCATAGCAAATCCATCTCTAGCCATATCTGTGGAGTGCGATCCTCGCGCGCGGACTGTTTTACATAGTCTGCACTCGACAAAGAGGCCAACTACGACGGCGGCGCGTAAGCTCATGCACTTCGCACCATGTAACAAGGGATCCCTCCTCTCGTCCAAGGGATCCCGACATTCGATCCACCTTCAGTCTTCCCCCGAGTAGAACTTACGGTCTTCATTGCTGTACCTAGACTGGAAGCTGCTCCTAGTACAGTTATAATGACCTGCGTTCTATTCGGGGGTAGGTGGTACCCTGGCGCTCCTCCCTAGTAAGAGAGGGACAAAAAGCGAAAGACTTCGCCGATTGGGAAGCACTTCATCTCGATTTTAACCAAACTGACGAGGAGCGACATGCCCCTGGACTTGTACCATCGACCATCACCATGAAAACAGACGTTTAGAACATGTGTAATGTGGTACGGGAACCAACGGAGGCGACAGCAGGCTTGGAAGCAGGAGTGACGGGATTCGTCGCAGGAGCAGAAGCAGGGGCCAGAGGGGAGCCACATTTCAGTGTATCGCTAGGTTTGGGCACAGAGGGAGAGTTGGGTGCAGCGGCGGATGGAGGTGCAGGCAGGCAAGCTGCCACGATCTGATCTGACAGGTTATCGTCGATAACGATGTAGCTAGCAAGTGGGATGAGCGTCATGTTCGCTTCCACCACTCGGAATTCGGTGGCTACGGCGTGGATCACTCCAGACACGGACTTCAGTGTAACGCTATTCTCCGCTCCAGCTCTGACGACAATGGGCTGGCCAAGAACAATCCATAATTAAGAAGTGCAACTGAAGAAATAAGAAGTGGAGCTGAAAAAATAAGAAACACCTTATCAACGACTACCACAACAGACATAGAAGACAAGTGCAGATGATGATTCCCACATAAAAGCACCGATCGGTGTCTATTATATATATATATATATATATCGTCAAATAGAACTGCCCGGTAAACCGTAGGCAGAGAGGGAGAAGAGGACAACAAACGAGGGGCTGTGACAAACTGTTTCGTCGGAATTTCACCGACTCATCAGGAG